TAAATAGGTTTCATTCATATCTGTTACGTAATTGTATGATTGAATGAAATAGAAATTGCTTCATTAGGAAATAGAAATTATTTTATACTTTTTAGTGCATTTCGAAGTCGGCGTATTTTTTTTCTTAAAATTATTTTTGATTATTGCAGTTAATTTACATGAAATTTTTTGTACTTAACAAACAACCAAATTTTTTGCCTGCACATTTTACTGGACGATGGTAGAAACCCTTTTTCTACGTCGTCATTTTCTGTACACCAGCGGACCAAAAGTTGTTACGTTCACAATCCTTCTAATTTGGAAATTTTCAGATGTACAAACTTCAAAATTTTGAAACTAAAAGTACCACAGAAGCCAAATGATCATTTCATAAGTTTCTTATTTTAAATTATAAAGTTTGTTAAGGTTTCTCTCAGATCTAGGTTGATTTTCCTCAAAATAAATTTATGTTTTATCGTTTAATTTCAAAGAATTTTTAAAAAAGTGATTGAAATATCTCTCCTATCTTTTTCGTATTACTGTGGAATCTCACTGATCCTCCCTGAAGCTGTAGGAGTGAAGTAAACGGAATTGCCTTATAAATGAAAATCCTTCTGTACAGTTCTTTTTATAAATTTGAAAATTTGTAATTTAACCCTTTGCGGTCGGCAGATTTTTCGGCTGGGAATACCAGCAAGTCGACGCAAATTTAGCTTTTCGGAGTCATTGTTATAAATTTATTCGTATTTACTTATCATATATTTCTCGATGGTAAAATAACGTATGAGGCTGAAAATAGCTTTCTGTTTTCTGTGAGGTGTGATCATGCCGCCACAGCAGCGACACCGACTTCTAAAACATTTTCGATATGCCGCCACAGCGGCGACACCGACTTCTGCGACGCTTTCAAAATGCCGCCACAGTGGCGGCACCGACCGCAAAGAGTTAAAATCTTTGAAATTGCAAGATTTTTAATTGTGGAAAATTTTTAAATGTCTTCAAATTTGTATATGATTCTTTCACAAATACAAGGCTATGTATTCTCAAAGTACAATCATTTTGCATGAAATAAACCTTGTGTTATTACACTCATGGACTTAGGTGTACATGCATGTATGCTTAGTTTCTGCTGCTATTTGCAAAATTGTTTGTGATTGTAGACAAAAATTATAATATACCGCGCTTACAAAGTCACGTAGTGAACTATGTATATTCCATGTCAGAAATTTGTTCATCAATTTTGTCGGAATTCCTATATTATTAAAAGATATTTCTCTGTAGAGACACTCGATAGAATTTGATTTATGCATAACACAGCTGGAGAACATTCCAGTAACATTGCTCGAGAATTTGTCAATAATCATTACATCGAATGGCGGATAGACAGAGAAAGGCCAATCGAATTGCCTGGCACCAGAAATATACCTGAAAGCCTTGCTGGAAGGTATATGTCAAAGTCACTTTTTGAATGTTATTTTGTACGATTTGAAATCTTGTTCTAGTTTATGTGTTAATTCAAACAATCAAATTTGCAAATAAAATTGTCACAGTATATTTAATTAAACAATTTTATTAAACTTTGCATTGCTGGTACACGAAATTTGTTAATCTTGAATAATTTCTGATGTATGCGTTATTTAAAACAACTTTTTATATAAGAACTGTATGATTTAGAGAATTGTATAATGTAGAGCGCTTAAGTTTATAACTCAGCTCTATTTATATATTTTCAAATTTTGAACTTAATTTGACTTAACTTGGTATAATTTTACCATTTCAATTTATTTTGCTTTGCCCAAATTTGAGACCCAAGTGTAATGGGTTAAAGTAGCTTAATAATCACCTTAAAACTTAACCAAGTTTTGAAGAAATCATAATTTAAATAAAACGGTACATGGATCAGGTTAGGCTAGGTTACTTTAAAATAATAATTTTTATTATCGTTTCAAATCTAATTTAATCCAGCTTCAAGCAAAAACAACCAAAGACCAATAATTTTATGTATTAGGTTAGATTAATTTGGTTTAAACGATAAATTTATATCAGTTACCTGAAAAAAATAATTTTACAATTGCTTCAGAACTAATGTTAGCTTGAAACAAACTATTCAATTTAAAGAATACATTCATGTATTAGATTAACTTAGATTAGGTTAACTTTGAAGAGAAATTTGATTATCATTTAAAAACTAACCTAATCCAGCTTGAGAGAAAAATAATTCCACTTAAACGGTAAATTTTGTGTACCAGGTTAATTCAGAAGTTTAATTGAGAATAAATACATTTGAATGAAGCAGGTAAGATGCATCAAAATTAACTACACTGGAATCTTTAATCAAATTGCATCTGTTCGTTTGTTCTTGCATTAGCGATGAATTCATTTTCCGCTTTTTCGTTCCGTCTGCGGCAACTGTTGAACGCAAGAAGTTTGAGAAAGATGTTTATCAAGTGATCGTCGAACTCTGACAGAGTATGCCAACATTCTTGCTTACTAAAGCTCGTTAGAATTTCGATGGTTTCGAAGGGAAACGGATTTTCAGTGTTGGCCAACCCACTAATTGTTGAACCAATCGACGAAACTTTAATACGATTTGCATTTTTTACGAAGTGTATACCTACTTTTCTAAATTGATCGACTGTTCGTTTATTTTCTCATTGGAGTCGCTCGAGAAACGAGTTCCGAAGATTGAAAGAGAATTTTAATAGGCCATCTTGTTAATTTGCTGAAAGTTTCAGGAAGGACTCGAGTTTTCCTTGGTGTTTCAAATAACCTTTTAAGAGTTTCTGATAAATTCCTTAAAAACATTTATTATTGTACTTTACAAGGATAAACTTTTACTCTTCATTATTGATACGATTTGATAGAAATAACAAACTTAACGTTTACTTCGTTATTTTACTTGTTTTGACGTACTTCGAATGCGATTTTCACTTTATATTGCATTTATATTTTTGATACGGTTTAATGGAAATAAACTGTCGATATATTTATAAACTTTGTTACTAACATAAAGAATTTTGGTTAAGAATATGGACATATAACTTAGTTACAAGTACAGCTATTTTTTGTTTGTGTACAATGAATTTGTGAATTTGCCACTTATATATTTACGAATAGAACATAATATGTTAGTTCATCTACAAATATTGGACTACAGCACGATTAGGTTCGATTAACTGGAGCCTAGTATTTTAAAGCATTGTCATGGATTGTTTCGAAACATTTTTATTCCGTTAACCAAAAATACAAAATATTAATGCATCGGTGAATGCATTCAGCGAAATTTTTAGTAGGACATCCTATAAATACTTAACCCCACAATTTATTTATCCGATGCGTCAGTCAAAACTAATTACTCAGAGCTGTAATATTAAAATAAAAAGAATTAAAATGTGAGTATTTTATATTCAGCTATCCTTAATTTTGCAAATTATAGTTGAACATAAATTTCAAGGTGAAGAGTATTCAAAATTTGAGTGAGGTTTGTCACATTTGAGCTGTGAGTACGTCACAAGTGATACTCGACAAAGTACGGGAATGGAAGGGGTTAAGCGCACTTGTGGCTCTTTATTGTGTTATTGATTGCTCGTCATTTAATATTGATTATTATAGTGGAGATTGTTGTATTAGCTGTATAGGAAGAATTCTTTGTGTTATGCAAATGTTTTTAACTGATATTTGGAATCCTGCCCATAAACAGCTCTCCAGAGGTGCATTAGAGAACTTTGGTACTAAACCCCAATTATGTACTAAGTTATTAGCGACTAATTGGCAATATCATCGACTGCTTTGTAAAATTTCATGGTTTATTAATAATTCATTAATATATAATTATGATTGAAGATATTGGAGAGTAATTACATTAGTTTCGTAATATTTGAATATTAATACTAACTAACACTTTAGTACATTTATTAACTTTTAGGTAGTATGGTAGGGTCATATTCGAACCTGCTATTATTATGGTTAAATTATAATAAGTTTAATTATTATTAAACTTGTATTTTTTATATTTTTTTATTATTAGTATTTATAGTTTGAAAAAATTTGATATCTAATTTGGAAAATTATTATACTTT